TCACATGCTCCTTGTTCTGCAGCTTGGTGCGGATGGACATGATCACTTGTCCAATGTGAACCCTGGCCACAGTGCCCTGGGGCTTTCCAAAGGCACCTCGCATTCCTGTTTGGAGCCTACATTGGGGCAGTGCAAGGTCAGACACATGAACATACATCTGGAAGCCCTGTCTCCAAGGTCCCTTAGAGCAACCCATACAAGAAACAGGCTGCATACACTACCAAGGAAGCTGCTGTTTGCAGCCATTGCACACTGGGCCCCTATGAGTAGAGTGGTTGTTAACAATCATATTCCTTTCTTGACACCCCCATTATTTAGTTATTAAAATTTTCTGCCAATTTGAGAGGTAAAATGGTATCTCCTTTTAATTTGTATTTATTTGATTCTTAGTAGTTGACTGTTGTTTCACATTTTTTTTTTTGAGATGAAGTCTTGCTTTGTTGCCCAGGCTAGAGTGCAGAGGCATGATCTCGGCTCACTGCAACCTCCGCCTCCCAGGTTCAAGCAATTCTCCTGCCTTAGCCTCCTGAGTAGCTGGGATTACAGGTGAGTGCCACCATGCCTGGCTAATTTTTTGTATTTTTAGTAGAGACAAGGGTTTCACCATTTTGGCCAGGCTGGTCTTGAACTCCTGACCTCAGGTAATCTACCTGCCTTGGCTTCCCAAAGCACTGGGATTACAGGTGTGAGCCACCAAGCCTGGCCTGTTTCACATTCTTATTTCATCTCATCTTCTGGAAGAGGTCATCTCTAGCTACTGTCAGTTTCTAGGCTTCCCAGGACTCCCTTTAGCCTATTACAATGCAGCTTCTGATCCTACTTCTCCATGGACAGATGATATCCATTTCTGAAATCTAGGGGCCACACTTCAGTCTATCTCATGAGGTATATCTGCTGGGTGGACACCATTGGTCTCCCTTGTGCTTCTTTGGCTTCTGTGAGCACAGCCTCTTCTGGTCACTCCTGTTCTCTGGCACAGACTTCTCTGGAGGATGGGGGGCCCTTCTGCATCATTATTGCCTAGGACAGTACAAAGGACCACATAAGGGAGCATGACTTGGTGAGGAGCCAAGATCACTTCACATCTCAAGAAGAGATGGTAACAGCTTAGAATGGTTTGGTGGCCATGGGAATAAAGAGAAAGGGATGGATTTGACAGATGTTTAATGGGTAAACATCACAGGAGTTGGCAACTAACTGGCTATGGAAGATAAATGGGAGGAAAGAGTCTAGGGTGACTGCTGGGTTTCATCTTGGGTGGGTGACTTGACTAGGTTGATGACTTTGCTCAATCCAACAGGGGATACAAAAAGAGGAAAGACAAGAAATGGAAGATGATGAAAGTGGTATCCCAGAAAATGAAAGGGTGACCAACAGCACCACAAATCAAGCAATCAGATAAATCAGGTTCTAAGCTGAGGGAGTGACAATTCTTTCAAGAAGCTTGTCTATGGAGAGAAACAATAGGGTAATAATAACCAGAGGGAGTGCAGGGTTGAAGGGGTGTTTTTTGGCTGAAGGCAATGGACTAGCTAAGCAGCTGACAAGTGCAGGTGCCATGAAGGTGGCTGAAGGAGTAAGATCCCAGAGATGGGATGAAGTGGGATCGTAACAGAGGCAGGGCTGAACAGAAAGGATATCTCCATGCAGGAGGCAGCAGGACACAGATGTACAGACTCCCTTGGGGGCTCACTGTGGGAAGTAAAAATTCCTGCATTTTGAACTTCCCTCCCTCTGTGAATTAGAAGGTGAGGTTATCTATTAGGCATGTGGGTGAGCAAGCAGTTGGAGCCAAGTGGTGAATGTTTACAGTAGAGGGTTCTGACCAAAGACAAAGATTCCTCAATGGCACTGAGGTCCGACTGCAGTTGAATGCCCTGGATTCGTAACAGCCCCAATCAGTATGCTTCTATGATTTTTAGTTGCTATATTCTACACCCCAAGCAGATATACAGGGAGAAACTGAGTCAGGCTTGGAAGCTTGCAATGCTAGTAGAGTTTGAGGATGGGGGGTTTAAGGAGCTAAAGGTATGAATGAGAAGTCTGTGTTGACCACAGGGCACCAGTTGGGTCATGTAAAGAATGGGATTAAAAGGGAAAAAACAAAATAAAACAAAACGAAAAATCACCTAGGTGCAGTGGCTCTCATCTGTAATCTCAGCACTTTGGGAGGCCAAGGTGGGTAGATCACTTGAGGTCAGGAGTTCAAGACCAGCCTGGCAAACATGGTGAAATCTTGTCTCTACAAAAAATATAAAACCTAGTCAGGCATGGTGGCGGCACCTGTATTCCCAGCTACTCAGGAGGCTGAGGCAGGAGAATTGCTTGAACCCAGGAGGTGGAGGTTGCAGTGAGCTGAGATCATACCACCGCACTCCAGCCTGGGTGACAGAGCAAGACTCTGTCTCAAAAAAGATAATAAGATAAAATAAATCATTCATTCATTCACTCACTCATTCAACAGTACTGGATCCTGGAGACAAAAATGAACAGTGTTGTCACTGCCTTTGAGGAGTCTAGCTGAGAAAAAAGATGAAAACAAATTAAAAATGACAGCACAACATGAGTGAGCAGAGGGTGTTAGGAAACTACTGGCGCACCCAAGGGAGGCAGGGAAGGCTTACCAGTCTGATGAACTTTTTTTTTT